TCAAAGTGGAGGTACTCGGTGTGAAGCCAGGCTGTTGACAGACCCACCACAGCCTTCAAGTCTTCCCAACACAAACACCTTACTAGTACTCGATGGAGAAGGTTGAACCACATTATTTCTATAGAAATGCCTTTCGATTTCAAAATCATTGGCAATGAAATGTATAACAAATAATTCTTTGTATATTGAGGGATTTTTACATATAAAGAATGATATCCACTAAAATCTTATACATTAAGATTTTAACTAGGAAATAGAAATAAGCATATGATACCTGAGAATGATGCTCATGTATATTTTAAGTGCTTATTATTGTTGCTTTAATGTGTTTTTGCAAGGGACTTTGGTCACAAAGCTCCCTAAACATTCATTTGAGACAGTGAAAATGTTCCTGCTTCTGATGTTGTACACATGGTGACAAATGATTTCCACTGATAATAAAAAGCTTTATATGCACAGATCAGTCCCCCATAGTCCTCCAAGTATAGTTCTTTCTTAAATCAAATCACCATTAAAAAGTATTTTTAAAAATACAGTTTAGAATTTATTTACATGACTTAACCATTCTTCTTTTTTTACAGATAAAGAGAGAGAAGGAAGAAGGGAAGGAAAGGAGAAGGAAAGAAGGAAGGAAGGGAGGAAGGAAGGGAGGAAGGAAGGGAGGAAGGGAGGAAGGAAGGGAGGAAGGAAGGAAGGAAGGAAGGAAGGAAGGAAGGAAGGAAGGAAGGAAGGGTGAAAAGTACTACTGAAGGGTTCATATTTAAAAACTGTATACTAGACTGTTAAAAATATCATATATGTATATATGTGTATAATGTTCGATATATATGTATATAGCATTGTGTGCTCATGGGGCATACAATTAGGAAACCACAAGCATATTCTCTTAAACTATATATATATAATTTCTCACCTGAGGATATGTTTACTGGTTTTAGATAGAGAGGAAGGAAGAGAGAAAGAAACATCAATGTGAGAAACACCAATAGGTTATCTCCCATATGCACCCCAACTAGGGATCAAACCTGCAACCTAAGTATGTGCACTGACCTGGAATCAAACCTGAACCTTTCTTGTGTACAGGAAGATGCTACAACCAACTGAGCCACCTGGCTGAGCCAGGTATATTTTAATTAAGCTATTTGTCCAGGCCCTAGCATAGCAGGGCACATACATCTGTACATGAGTGCATGCAAACACACACACAACACACCCCCACACAGGTATTTATTAACCCAGAGGAACTGTAATGATGTCTATGTCATAATTAGCTCTTTCTGAATACCAACTCAGACTGAAGCCAGGTCTGCATTTTTATTTTGCTATAGACTGCAACTGTGAAAAAGCACTGATGTTCAAGGTAATGATAAGGATGTATTCCATGAGAGACAATTTAATAAGAACACTTATGAGTTGAGCTGTGTTGAATCAAAATATTCAGTTTAACTTTCTTATGTAGTTGTATTAATAATCTTCTATAATAAGAGGCTAACATGCAAATCGACCAAATGGCAGAATGACCAGTTGCTATGATGCTCAGTGACTACCAGGGAGCATACACTCAATGCAGGCGCTGCCCCCTGGTGGTCAGTGCGCTCCAACAGGGGGAGCGCTGCTCAGCCAGAAGCTGGGCTCATGGCTGTCGAGCTCAGCAGCAGTGGTGAGAGCCTCTCCCACCTCTGAGGCAGAGCTAAGGACCCCTCGGGGCATGTCTGAGGGGTCCCAGACTGCGAGAGGGTGCTGGCCAGGCTAAGGCATCCCATCCCCCCAGTGCATGAATGCACTGGGCCTCTAGTTAAGTTATAAACTTTAATCTCTAAACCAAAATGCAATTATGTTAAAGCTACCACAGAGTAACAGATAAAATTTCATTACTATGTAAACTCAAAGGCAAATTTCTAAGCTACAGAAATATGTGGGTGCAGACAGAGAGAAACAATGGTAGTTCAGCACATGGGCCCTTAAATAAGTAATGCAAAGAAAGCCCATGTCACTGCTGAAAACCAACAGAAAGAGGTGAAAACAAGGTTGAAGTGTCTTTATCCACAGTGCCATCTCTAATTGCATGTAGACAACCAACTCAGAAGGAACAATGACTTAGGGACAAACCTTTGGAATGAAACTCTTTGCTTAAGTAGCCTTAGACTATTTCCTTGTAATTTTAGTGAAGTTGTAGGTTTAGCAGTTAATTTTCTTGTATTTCCCTCCACTAGCATTACTTCACATCCTCACATTTTGAGCATTATTTTTTTTTCCTTTTGTAATATTATCAAGTCTCTCTCCCACATGATCTTTTTTTTTTTTTTCTTTTCAGGAAACTAGATGTGTCATTGAATAGGTAGCAAGGGGCAAAGCAATTATATCATTATTACAGGAGCCTTTAAAGGAATTCATGAGGAAATGATAACGACACACAGGTATTCTTCGCCAAAGAGAAGAGCCTTTCCACTGTGACAGTGTTATAAATGAAAGTGGAAGGTGCCTATTTATCAAGGCTAAAGCAAGAGGAGGGGAAACTCATCAGCACTTGCTTTTCCTGCCAACCCATTTTTTGTCACCCTCCGCTCCAATGCACAATGGAAATTAACTTCTAACCACTATCATGTAAAATACATTTAAAATCTACATTGGAAATAAAACAAGTAAATCAATATAATGGTGTTTGAATTTAGCAGAAAGTACAATAACGAAGTTAAGGGCTTTCCTTGACATTGGCTTTCACCACACACTTCAGAACTTCCAATAAAAAGATGAGAATACTAAACAGGACTTTGGCGTCCTTTACAAAGCTTGACATATATACAAATGCATACACATCCAGGAATATGCACAAAGACAGTCATAAATGGTTTGTAATGGTGGTGATATAATCATTAATGTAGAATAGTCATATGGTTCCCTTTATGGATGAACATATACTGTCTGATCAGACTCTGTCACACCATAACTTATATCATCATAATAATTATAGAATCAATTGATATTGAATTAACTTTATATTTTGAAAGTTGTGTTAAGATTTGTTTTTAAGGATGGAGAAAAATTGTTCTTCAACATGGTACAGGAATGTTATGGTCAGGAATGTTATATTGCATTTTTCTCCTAAAGATAGAGCTGAAATTGATGGTAGAAGCAAATATATAAATAGCAAAGGTTAAAGTGGTTTTGCTCTCTACTATTTATTCTAGCTATAATAGTTTCTTGTGATTGCCCAAACAGTGACCCCAAACTATTGAAGAACAGGTGAGAAAAGAGATATTCGTACTATTTTTCTTATTCTTCTTCCTGTGATGGGAATTCAAACAACAGAGAAGCCCTACCAAATACCTTATCTACTGCAAAACCTTGACTGATTTTACATACATTTATGTGGTCAATGCTAGAGTTTAAATCTACAAATTATGGAAGAATTACTTTTCCTCCATTTTATTTACAAAAATATCACTCTGTGCAACTTTTTAAATCTGAAATGATATAGCAACATTTTCCTTTGAAAAAAGATGGGGCACTGTTGGGAGGAAAGAATGAACAGAAAAATACAATCTATGATTAATTAATCTGTAACACACCATCATGCTCACCCATGTCCATCAAAGGTGGATACTTATTTTGGACACAATTTTATCTCTGAAAATTCACTATTCTCTTGCTTCAAATATGTCAAACATGGAGGTGACATTCATTATAACATAAAACCTTAGAACACATGAGGTCTGCATTCTTTTTCAGGAAAAAAGCATGGCAGGTACATATAGTAACAGGCTGAAGAACATTCTCAGGACACAACAATTTGCTTGAGCTATGAATGTTGAAATGGAATCACCACTTCCATAGAGCACTCAATCCTGATTCTATCCTGTGGAAATTCTCACTGAATTCTACTCTCCCACAAAATAAGACACAAATCAATAGTGTATTAGTGGATCAAAGTGCCCTTCATATGTCAATAGCAAATCTACATATTTGAATCTGAAAGTTAGATATTAGAGGCATTTACTTAATTTTGTATACAAAATGCTATAGGGTGTCAAGTTGCCATTTAGTACATAAAATAATTGGAAGTGTACAGTAAGATAATGGTGGTAACAGACACCATGTAGCAGAACAGACTCTGGAGCCAACCTGCTTAGTTTTCAATTCTATCCCTGTCTGGCAGGCATGGTTGAGCATTGACCTATTAACCAGGAGGTCACAGTTTGATTACTAGTCAGGGCACATGACTGGGTTGCAAGCTCAATACCCAGTGTGGAGTGTGCAGAAGGCAGATGATAAATGATTCTTTCTCATCATTGATGTTTCTATCTCTCTCTTCCTCTCCCTTCCCCTCTGAAATCAATAAAGATATATATTTTAAAAATTTAAATTCTAGCTCTGTCACTTATTAGCTCTGACATTTATCCTGTGTGTGCCTTCATGTCCTTATCTGTATGACATGGAAAAACAATAGTACCTACCTCAGAGGCTTAGGCTCATCATGGAAACAACTTACAATAATGTCTAGCTTATAGTGAGCTTTCAATAAAGGTAATCCACTCTTCAGTTTTATACTTGACAAAACATATCTAAATCCAGTTTCCTTATCTACTATGTACTTTAGCTTTCTCATCATGCAATTTGTTCCAACTTGAAAAATAAGCTGGAAGGGAGCATTTTGTTTGCTTTATTTTGATATTGGAATAGAGCAAGGCAAGAAGAAAGATAGATTCACTGAATTTCAGTTTCAACCTCCACATTGTACCAAAGCCCGCTATTTAGTTTTAAATTGTGGTTTTGAAGGATGCATGGCCCATGGCTCCCTCAGTTTTATTTCTGACATCCTTCAAATTGTGCTTCACCAATGTAGTTGTTATCCAGTATAATAATGTCAGTCATATAAAAAGGCATACTTTTATATTTTATTGTTAACTACTGAATATCCACTTTCAAATACAGCCAAATATTTCAGGTGTAACATGAAGTGAAAATCTCTTTATATGCCATGTGTATTCAAATGTTATCAGGCAGTTGAAACATAAAAGTATGTTTATTGGTCAGGTAAAATGTGACTATTTTGAAAATCAGTTTTGCAGCTTTTCAAAAATATGACCCAGCAATTCCACTCATTCTATATAATAAAAGGGTAATATGCAAATAGACCAAACAGCAGAACAACTGGTCGCTATGTTGCTCAATGCAGGAGCTGCCCCCTGGTGGTCAGTGTGCTCCCACAGGGGAAGCACAGCTCAGCCAGAAGCCAGGCTCATGACTGGCAAGTGCAGCGGCCGTGGTGTGAGCCTCTCCCACCTCTGCAGCAGTGCTAAGGATGTCCAACTGAGGCTTAGCAGGAGCAAGCCTAAGCCACAGTCAGACATCCTCTGAGGGCTCCTGGGCTGCCAGAGTGATGACTGACTGCTAGCTTAGGCCCGATTCCCCAGGGAGCGGCACTAAGCTAGCAGATGGACATGATCAGGCAGGCAGACAGAGTGGTTAGGGGCAATCAGACAGGCATGCGAGCAGTTAGGAGCCAGTAGTCCTGAATTGTGAGAGGGATGTCTGACTGCTGGTTTAGGAGGGGTCCCAGACTGCCAGAGGGTGCAGGCCAGGCTGAGGGATCCCGAGTGCATGAATTTTTGTGCACCGGGCCTTTAGTTCAGTAATAAAAAGGAATAAAGTACTGACATGCTACCACATGGATGGATGGACCCCTGAAAACATTATCTTAAATAAAAGAAGCCAACCATGAAAGGCTATTTATTGTATGATCCATTTATATGAAATGTCCAGAATTGGCACAGTCATGGAGACAGAAAGCAGATTAAGGGCTTCTAGTGGCTGGGGGATGAGAGAATGGGAGTGACTGCTAAGATATACAGGGTATCTTTTCCCTGTGCCCTGAGATTCATTGAGAGGAGGCCATATTGGACACCATACTGTAATAGATGATGAGAGCATCAGCAGCGGTGGTCCCGTAAACTAGTCTATAAAGAGAAACAGCCTACACTAAAAGCATGCTAGTTATTGAATTCACAATAAAAATATATGGCATCATGCTCATGTCTTTCAGATTAATTAATATTTAAAGCACTTACAGCAGTGCCTTGAACATGCTAAGTGCTCCATGTGAGTACCTGCTAAATAATATGAAAAGTATAAACTCTTTAAAAATGAAATTTAAAACAAAGTAAGAAGGAAATGCAATATAGCTTTTCTGTCTTGGAAAAAATACATCATAAACATTTGTCACTAGGAAAACACAGTCATTAAACAAAAGTTGGTATTATACAAAGGAAGACACAGACCACACTTGGTAGTCTACATACAGTTGACTGAAAAATCATTTGTGTTATTGATCTCCAATAATATATTAGGCATGCACAATGGCCTGGCAGGCCTTGAACACAGGTTTATGTATCTTAGTGATCACCAATGTCAAGTGCTCTGCCTATCAGTTATTTAATACTAATTGGTAGCTTACAAAGGGGAGGTCATTGGGCTAACATTGTAGCCTTGAGCTGTGCAATAAACACTATAGAGAAAACTGGGCTCATTGCACATTCATTTTTTTATAAAAAGGCACAATAAAAAGTATTTCTCGCTTGGCCAGTATGGCTCAATGATTGAGTGTCGACCCATGAACCAGGAGGTCATGGTTTGATTCCTGGTCAGGGCACATGCCTGGGTTTTGGGCTTGATCCCCAGTAGGGGATGTGCAGGAGGTGGCCAATTGATGATTCTCTCTCATCATTGATGTTTCTCTTTTTCTCTCTCCCTCTCCCTTCCTCTCTGAAATCAATAAAAATATATATTTTTAAAATGTGCTTCTCTGAGCAGTTTTAGTTTATATTCAATATTTTTCATCTTAAAATGCACTTGAGAAAGTTTAATAATCTGAAGGTTCGTGAAGTTACAATTACTGAATGTACAGTAGTTTTTCATTCCTAGGTTATTGAATTCTAAAAGAACTCTCAAAACTTGTCATAATAAGATAAAGAAATAAGTGTAATCTGTAAAGAGTTTTAGTTAAACATTGTATACTATTTGGAATAGATTATGAAGTATAAAAGTAGAATGTTTTAAAATGGTGAATAAAGGCTTGAAAAGCTTGATAAATATAAAGAATGGCTTTTAAAAAAAATTTAGAGCTAATAATTGGAATCAACTTAGCATTTGTAATGATCTAATTCAAGATGAAGCACCATAAAAGTTATGTTTTAAAAGTAGTCTATTTTGCCTAAATTCTCTTCTTAATTACTTCAATGTTGTGTAATAGTTTGAAATATCAGACACCAGAAGTTTATGGGAGTAATTTTGATCAATGAAAAATATGTATATTTATGAGCCAGCACTACCTTTTTGTCCTTGAAATCACATGTAAATGATTATTATTAAAGTAAACATTAACTCCTTCCATTTTTGACAAGTGAATGGTATTGCATTATCCTTATAAAATTCAATAATTATATAAATTTCAGATAAAGATATTTCCTATACCATGTGGTTAACAATGAATGTTAAACTGCCTTGTAACCTATGCTCCATTTTCACTTTAAATTTTATTCAAATGTTATATTGATTTCCAGCATATTTCCATTTCCTTTCATCATTTAGATTATAATTTCCTTGGGAATACTAATTATGCTTTATACTTTTTTCATAATTAAGAGCTAAGAGAATAGCTTGCCACACGAATGGGGGGAAATGTCTTATGCCATATGGTATTATGGCGAAAAAACCCCAAAATGTTTGGCCAAGAGCTTGCTAATGTCCAGTCATTAACAATGACAATTCTTTATTCATGGTTTGTTGTGTATGAATTTATGCCACTCAAGAAGTTGGCTTTAAAAAAAAGCCCAACATCTGAGGCTATTTAAAATGGGGATGAATTGTTCAATAACATCAAGGATATAAATATCAACAAAGACTGTTTACATTAAAGAAGACCAAACAGACATGTTATCTAAACATATCACATCATTCTTGATTAAATCCTGGAGGAGGGTTGGGATTGAAGAATAACTGTAAAAGGAAGTTATTGGGATAGTTGGTGAATTTTTAATATGGCCTCCATATTGGATAATAGTACCATGAATTTCCTGAATGGGGATAACTATATTTTGGTTGTGTAATAGAATACTTCATATATATATATATCAATATATATATTGATCTCAGAGAGGAAGGGAGAGGGAGAGAGAGACAGAAAGATCAATGATGATAGAGAATCACTGATCAGCTGTCCTCTACACGACCCCACACTAGGGATCGAGACTGCAACCTGGGCATGTGCCCTGACCAGGAATTGAACTGTAACCTCCTGACTCTAAGGTCAACACTCAATCACTGAGCCATGCCAGCCAGGCTAGAATATTTTGTTTTTAGAAGCTACACAGTAAAGTATTTAGAAGTGAAGTATCATGACATTTATATACATATAAAATATCTATATAAATATATGAAATCAATAAAAATATCTATATATAATTTATTTACATGAATTGTATATAGATCAAAGGCAGGAAACAGAAAGAGTGCAAAGGAGTGAAAATTTTAGCAATTGGTTCTGGTTGAAAGGGCTATATATGTTCATTGTACTAGTCTTGCAGCTTTTGTAGGCTAGAAATTTTCAAAAAGGTTGGTGGGGAAATGGGATTCTTTTAAAGCTTGTATTGATTTGTTTCACAAGGGACATCCTAGTTAGAGAAATAAATGCAAAAGACAATTGAAAGTGAAAAAGGAACATTTGAGGCATAATAGACAAAATGCAAATTCGATTGATTCCAAATGTTATGTCTTAAAATATCATATAAGTACTAGAGGCCTGGCACTCAGGGGAGGGGATCCCTCAGCCTGGCCTGAGCCCTCTTTCAGTCTGGGAGCCCTCAGGGGATGTCCAACTGACAGCTTAGGCCTGCTTCTCAGGGGGAGGGGGCCTAAGCCAGCAGTTGGACATCCTTAGCGCTGCTGTGGAGGCAGGAGAGGCTCCCGCCACCGCCTCTGTGCTCACCAGCTGTGAGCCTGACTTCTAGCGGAGTGGTGCTCCCCCTGTGGTAGTGCACTGACTACCAGGGGGCAGCTCCAGCATTGAGCATCTACCCCCTGGTTGTGAGTGCATGTCATAACAACTGGTCGTTCCACTGTTCGGTTGATTTCCATACTAGCCTTTTATTATATAGTACTAGAGGCCCGGTGCAAAAAAATTTGTGCCCTCGTGGGGGGGGGGTCCCTCAGCCTGGCCTATGCCCTCTCACACTCTGGGACCCCTCGGGGGATGACCACCTGCTGGCTTAGGCCTCTTCCCTGGGGGATTGGGCCTAAGCTGGCAATCAGACATCCCTCTGGCAGCCCAGCAGCCACTGGGGGATGTCCACTTGCCAGTGGGGAGCAGACCTAAGCTGCAGTCGAACATTCTTAGCACTGCTGAGGAGGCAGGAGAGGCTCCCACCACCACCGCTGTACTGGCAGCCATCAGCCTGGCTTGTGGCTGAGTAGACCTCTCCCATGTGAGAGAGCATTGACCACCAGAGGGCAGCTCCTGCATTGAGCATCTGCCCCCTGGTGGTCAGTGTGTGTCATAGTGACCAGTCATTCCCAGTTGTTCTGCTGTTAGGGTCAGTTTACATATTACCCTTTTACTATATAGGATAGAGGCCAGGTGCACGGGTGGGGGCTGGCTGGTTTGCCCTGAAGGGTGTCCCGGCTCAGGGTGGGGGTCCCCACTGGGGTGCCTGGCCAGTCTGGGTGAGGGGCTGAGGGTCATTTTCAGGCTGGCCGGCGACTGAAGGTCCCAGCCTCTCCTTTTTTCGTTTTTTTTTTTTATTCTGGGATTTATTTACCCTCTGTAATTGAAACTTTGTTGCTTTCAGTGCTCAGAGCCGGGCAGCGGCAGGCGGGGAACTGTGGCTTCCTCCATCACTGGAACAAGCAAGCCTCCTGCTCGCTTCAGCTGCGTGGCTGCTGGCCGCCATCTTGGTTGGGTTAATTTGCATATTGTGCTCATTAGCCAATGGTAGGCATAGCGAAGGTATGGTCAATTACCATGTTTGTCTATTAGATCAGATTATATATGATATGTCTACCATACGTAAAATTAACTCTTATTGATCATAGCTACTCCTTATGCAAAGTATCACAGAAACACAGTGCATGTCCATTATTAAACAGCTATATCTCAATGACAGCACATATGCTAAGTCCATTCAGAAAGATGCCTTTGGATATTACTAAGCACAAACAACATTATGCTGAGCCTAAGTAATTTTAAGAATAATTTTATATTAGCCAAATGGGTATTAAACATGTAATTAAAAATGTATGATTATTATTACTTTGCATTCAAGTTTACTGTTGCTGTACTGAATATTTTAATAACATCTTTCCCACAAACAACACATGGAATGTTACTGCAAGCAAATTCATTTTAATTAGTCATGTCATAAATTATACCATTGGCAGTGCTTTAGTGGCCTAGCATCAGGGAGAATACAATTTCTGCACTCACATGTTAATAACCCAGATGACAATTAAGGAACCATTGATAAAAAAGCATAGAACCAGTGCTTTTACTTCACAC